AAATTGCACTTTCCCACTTTGTTCTGTTGTAATTCCTGTAGAAAGCAGAGCCCGAAGCAAAGATTATGGTGGGAACAATTTATTTGGGAGGTACAAGGCTGACAATGACAGTGAGGAAAAAGGATTAGGTCAAGGAAAGATGCAATGCAGTGAGATATGTGACATTATCTCAGTTGGCCACTACTTCACAGCAAGCTGCTAAGAAACAAGGCACGTTTCTCAGCAAGCTTAGTCAACACATGGAACTTCTCCAGAACAATTGCAAGGTGTGTCACAGGAAGAGAAGAGCATTCAATGTCTGAAACAAAATCTGAATTGCTTGCTTGCTAAGAGAGAGCAGCATTTGTAAAGAACAGTGTCTCTGAACCAAGAGAGCAAATCTTGTATAGGATTTGGAAGTGTGAAACCCAGAAATTAGTGGGCTTTCAGCAGTGTGAATGTTTTGGCCTTGCTATCTTTCGTCTGTGGGACGATGGACATTGGGATGAGGTTGTAGCTGGCTGGCTGGTATGATCTGGCTCCTCAGTTTTCCCTTGGGGAACCAAGTTTCATGCCTCATGGAACTTGCTCTTTTATTCAAGACCAAAAGTGGAGGGGCAACTAGTAGAGATGGGGCATCAACTGAGAGGAAAAAAGAGAGAGAGAGAGAGAGAGAAATAGAGAGAGAAAGAGTGTGCCAAGTTGGTTTAATCATGAAAGGAAAAGGGGCTGTATCAGTAAGTTAGAGAGTGATTGAGAGAGTCTGGTCCTAGCAAGTAAGGACTAAGGAACAAACTCTTCCTGGGGAGAGGGCCTAAAGGGGGTTATCCACAGGGAACAATATCCCAGAATAACTGGGAATATCACTTCTTCCTTCTCAGTTTTTCTTGAAAATGGACAGATCCCTTGAGCTCAAACTGCTACCCCAACACTGTATCCGACAATTTCTGACTCTTGCTGCCCAAAACCTGGAGAAGCCAAAGCTGTTTCTGCGTCCAGCTCAGTGAGGGACCATCACAATGACCTCTCTCTCTCCTGCACCCAGTACTTAGCAGTGGTTTGCAGGTGTGCCCTCTCAGGGCAGGAGAGGAGCTCGGCCTCTGTGCCCTGATGATCTCCCCTGAACAAGAGAACCCAGGGCCCCAAATACAGGAACAACAGGAGAGTCAGAGCATCAGGCCCAGGGAAGGGGCATTAAAGGTAGGAAAAGAGCCAGCAGGGCTGCAAACCCTCCCCTTTACAGCCCAGCCCTGCTCCCTCCCTCGGATCTACTCTTCATAATCTCCCCCTTGAATCTCCATAGACTTCCTGAAAGGATCCCACTTGGGGTCATTTCCAGACTCAAGCCTGCCCAAGAGAAAGAGCTGGAGAACACCAGGATCGCACACTGTGTGCAAAGCAGCCGAGAGGGAAGGGCTTTCTTGCAATCTTGCGGGAAGGATAGAAACGTTGGTTATCTTACTAGAGGAGGGGTTGGTTAAATGGTTTCTGTAGGTTTTACAGATACCATTTATTACATTAAGGAAATTTCTTTCTGTTTTGGTCTGATAACAGGCTATCTTTGTTATCATGAGTGGATGTTGATTTTTGTGAAATGCCTTTCTGTTTAGTGAGATAATGATTTTTCTCTTAGATCTGTTTGTGTGGCAAAATGCATTACTTGATCCTTCTAAGTTTAAATGAGATCTGCACTATTGGTGTAAACTTAAATTGCTTGTGACCTTTTTGTGTATTGTTGGACTAGTTTTGAGAGTTGATATTGTTTAGGGTTTTGTGTCTAAGAATCATGCATGAGGTTGACCTGGTCGTTTCCTTTCTTATCCTGTTATTTGTGTCAAGGTTATGCCAGCCTTATAAAACAAGATGGTAGCGTTCCTTCTTTTTCTCTTTTATGGAAGCATTTGTAGATTCGAAGTTTTCCTTCCTCGAATTTTGGTAGAAATGAACAGTGAAGCCATCTAGATCAGTTGCCTATGTGGAAAATTTTTGATGGCTGATGCAATTTCTTTGATAGCTCCAGTATTACCTAAGGTGGGAATTCCTTCTCGAGTAGGTGTTAGGTAGTGATATTTCTATTTTGCCTAAAATTTAAAATTTGTTTGCATAAAGTTTTTCATAACGTTCTTGGCTTATGTTTTAATGGTCTTCAGCTTTGTAAAAATATTCCCTTTTTAGTTCCCGATCTCAAATATTTGCACTTCCTCTGATTTTTTCATGATTAGTTTCTCCAGAGGCTTGTCAATTTTATCAGCCTTTTCAAATAATTAATACTTGCTTTATTAAACCTCTCTGTTGTATGTTTGCCTACTGTTTCATTAACTTCTGCTGCTTATTATTTCTTCCTCCTGCTTCATTGAATTTATTCACATATTTATTACTAACTTCTGGGGATAGATGATCACCCCAACAATTTCAGTTTTTTGTGATATGTGAGTTTTAAGACTATAACTTTTTCTCTACCTGCATTAGCTGTGTTCCACAATTTTTAATAAGTACTGTTATTGTTATTATTCAACTCAAAACATGTTCTATTTCTTTTTAAATTTTATTTTATCATGGGATATTTAAAAGTGTATTTATTTTTTTCTAATATTATGAAGATTTTTCTAGCTACCATTTTATTGATTTCTAGGTTAATTATGTTGTGGCCAGAAAAGATTCCCAAGATTTGCATTTTTAGAATTTCTCAAGATTTGTTTTATGGCCCAATATATGATCAATTTTGGCAAAAGTTTTGTGTGTATTTTAAAAATATCTTAATATGTGTCAACAAAAATAATCCATACCCAATCTATAAATGAAAATTTGGGTGAGTTTATTCTGAGCTGAAATCTCAGGACCATGGCCTGGGACCTTTCTTCCCAAAGGAAGAAAGGGCACCAAGGAAGTGAGGTATACAGAGTGGTTATATACCCCCAAACAGGATGTTTCACATGTGTGTTGATGAAAATAATCCATAACCAATCTATAAATGAAAATTTGGGTGAATTTATTCTGAGCTTATATCTGAGGATTATAACCCAGGAGAGTCTTCCCACAAAGGAACAGAGCACTCCATAGAAGTGGGGGTATACAGGGTGGTTATATACCCTTAAAGAGGATGTTTCACATATGATTGAAATGTCCCTTTTACAATAGTGGCATGACTGCTCTGTAGGCACAGCGATTGATGGAAACAGCAGGTAGGTCTTCTGTGTCAGTGAACACAGCAGGGTGGCAGTCTGTTGTCTCCAGCTGATCGGTCACAGGTGAGCTGGGTGGTCAAAGGTGAGTGCAGCAATCAGTTCCTAGCCTAAGGAAAGATGCTTATCCCTAAGGAAATGCCAATGTGGGGGGAAGTTGCACCTTTATCTCAAGGGCCTTTGTTCTGGCCATAGGAAATGTCTAAGCAGATATACAGTGGGTGCTCAACAGCCACAGTCAGGCCCTTTTGGAAAAAACAAAGTCAGGCTGAATTAGGTTTGTACTAAATGGCTTCCTTGTATACTCCAATATATTCTATTGCTTGCCATTTTTATTTGTCATATTGGATACAATGTTCTAAATATGCTATTAGATCCACTTGTCCTTGTTTTCTTTAAATCATCCATATCCTTATGGAATTCTTTTATGGTCTACTTGCTATACTAATTCTTGAGGTGATGGTAGGTTTATTTATCTCCTTGGAGTTCTTTCAATTTTCGTTTTGTAGATTTTCTGGCCATATAATAGGTGCCTTAAAATTTAAAATCACTTTGTCTTCCTGATGAATTGATCTGTTTATCGTTGTGAAAGGACCCTGTTTCTCTTCACAGACACTTTTGATTTGAAGTCACTTTTGTCTGGTATTGATACACCTACAATGGTTTTCTACGGTTACTGCCAATAATGGTAGATCCATTTCCTTTCTCTTACGTTCAGCTTTTTAGACCTGTCTATTGCACAGAGCACATATTTATGTCTGTTTTCACAGCTGACTTGATATTCTTTGAATTTTAACTGGAGTATTCAGGATGCTTACATTTGACGTAGTTATGGATATATTTGCTTTTAAGTCTACTCTGACTTTATGTTTTGCATTTCTCCCAACTATTCTGTGGGGTTTTTCCCTCTTCTTTCTCACCTTGTCTTGGATGGATTACTTTTTACCTTTCCTTTTTTCCCTTCTACTCTTTGGAAGTTATGCATTGCTTATATTGTTTTAGCGGTTACATAAAAGTACAGGATGTCTCCACAACTTATCAAAGACTAAATTTAATCAGTAGGTTTACACTTCTCCCTGAAAATGTAGGAAACACAGCCCTTTTAATCTCATTTACCTTCTCCCAAAATTGTGGATTTTAATTCCACCCTGTTTTGTTAACACATTGGAAATTGTGATTATCATTTTACATAAACAATGTTCATTTTTCTTTAATAGTTTCTAGTTACTAGGCTAGTTTTGTTTTTGCTGTATTGTACTCTAATAATTTCTTCAGATATTTCTTCCACTTAAGAATCCTCTTTTCTGGTGTCCTCAATGTGCAAGCAAATCCCCCCACTTCGTTTTTAATGTTGTTATTTTGTCAGGACTAATTACCCTGAGGAGTTCAAGGCAGGGTTTGAAAGCCTTTGAATGTTTTACCAAATCATTTTTCTTCCCTTTTGTTATGTTAAGGAGATGCAACCAACCACCCTGAGCCGGACCAAGCCTCACTAGGAGAGCTATGCCTATGACCTTGGCCTTATTTTAAGTGCTAAGATCTCTCCAGGAGGAGCTTAGGCCTTATGAACCTGCACTATGTGGAAGCATGTTTTCCATCTTAGCTGGCTCAAGTGAACGCCCTCCTCTCCCTTTTTATTTTTGGAGGAATATTAGCCCTGAGCTAACATCTGCCACCAATCCTCCTCTTTTTGCTGAGGAAGAGTGGCCCTGTGCTAACATCCGTGCCCATCTTCTTCTACTTTATACATGAGATGCCTGCCACAGCATGGCTTGACAAATGGTGCATAGGTCTACACCCGGGATCCGAACCGGCTAACCCTGGGCCGCCAAAGCAGAACATGCAAACTTAACTGCTGCACCTGCAGGCCCATCCCATCCACCTCTCCCTTTTGAAACTCCCGTTCTCCAACTAAAATAAAAGTCCCTTCTTCCCTTTGTTCGGGAACCCCATGACTCCAGAAATGATTCCTCATGGTCTCCCATTTGATGCAAATACACTTTACTGTATGAGTCAGCTCCTTCTGGTGGAGAGTCTGATTTCACTTGCCAGGAGGAAAGCTGCTTTGGTTTCAATACAATTTTCAGTACAATTTTATATTTGGAAATTCTATCTAGTTCTTTATCCAATCAGTAATGACACTTCATATTTTCCTGTTTCCTGCAGTCATTTTTAAGTTTGTATTATAATATGTGCAAGATAATTCCAAATCTCAAGCACATAGTTGCTGATCTGTCTGTACTAAGAGTTATTTCTGCTGGCTCTCGTTCACGGGGTCACGTTTTCATGTGTTCTTTGGCATTTTGATTATGTGCAGTTTGATACTTTTTCAAAAGATTTTGCATGTGTGGTGGGTGGGGGCCGAGAGTGGCAGGCTTCCCAAGGCCTGGAATAAAGGTATCTTCTTCAGAGAGGATTTGCAATGGCTTCTGCCTGGCCCCTGGAGGCATCTCCCTTCTAAACCACCTGGAAATCAAGACCACTGCTGGAGACCCAATGAGAACCTAGGCTGCAAATCTTCAGGAAGGCTGTCCCTGGTCACAGCTTCTCAGAATCTGGTTGTTTATCCCTTTTCTCCATTTTCCTGCATTGTTCAGTGCCAAGGCTATCTTCTCTGTCAAGGGTAGATTTACTTCTGCTCACTGTTAGGCTAAAGGGCAGCCTGTGGGGCCCCAGATTAACATGAGGAGAGTTTCTTACTTGAGTCTCCATATTGCTTGGACCCAGGGCCTTCACTTTTGTCCCTCTTCCCCCAAGAAATCACCAAAACCCAAGGCCCAGTTGTCTAGCTGGCAAATACCTTCATGGCAAAAGCAGCTTGAGTTGTCTTGACTTCTGCTTATCTGTCTGGGTTTCAGAATTAAATCCAAAATTTAACCTGACAGTCCCTTGCTGTCTTGTCAGTTTGTCAATGCTTTCAAAAGTTTTATTCCCCCTGTTTTTCCTTTAAATTTGTTTCATTCAGAGGGTTGGTCCAAATAACCTGGCCTGCTATCACTAAAGACGGAAGTCAGGGTGTTACTTTTGTATTTATTCAACCAACCTTGATTCAGTTTATTTTGTGAAGGAGACAATTAGAACTATTTCACCTTGCCACTGCCCTTCATTTTGCCAGTTACTCTTTACTTCACAAAATCACAGCAAATAGTTCAATGACTACATTTTAGTGGACTCTTGTCACTAAAAGAATGGATCGTTTAACCTCAGCGAGCAAACTTCAAATTCATCCCAGGTTGGTTCTCTTCAGAGGAGGATTCCTACAAAAAGCTAATCCAATCTGGTGTGCAAACTCTTTCCTGACTTTGGGATCCTATCCTCTTCCTGAATTTCAAAAATTCCCTTTTCTGGGTTAGGGGGAATCTTGTACCACATAGAAAAATCTATGAGTATGCGAGGGCTCTATTCTCTAATGCATATTCAACAAAACAAAGGGCTATCAGGAACTGGGAGCAGATGTCTGCCCCCACCTGGAGATCAGATCGCGGCCCCACCCAGAGACCAGCTGCCTTCCCCACCTGGAGACCAACCCCCTATATAAGCAGCTTGTAGTCTTTGTTCTGTAAAATGATTCTTTTGGACGTTAGTCCTTCATCTTCCCTCTTGCTAGCAAGCTGCAATAAAGAAATCCTTCCTCTCCCACCACTTTGCCTCCTGACTATGGGCATGTCTTGCATTCAGAAGAGGACCCTCCCTTTGCCGGTAACAATATGACACAATAATTCTGCTGCTGGGACTCTATCCTGTAAACAGTGTGAAACACACACAGACACAAACACGGGCACACTCACACCTTCACACATTTCTACAAAAAACTTTGAGCATAAAGATGCTCATCGCAATATTATTTAAAATTGTCAAAAATGAGAAACAACCTAAATAACAAAGTGGAAACCATTAGCTACGGTATATCCACATAATGGAATATGATATAAACATAAATATGATCTTTAGGAACCTTGTAGAAAACCAGGCGAAAAACTTTAACTGGCTATTTGCATGCTCTCACTCCCAAAAGAGAAAATTATCAAAGCATCAAGTTAACACTTTAGCTTATTGGACTGGCAACAATTTAAAAAAATGACAATATTCTGTTTGGGCATATATGTGGAGAAACTGCCATAGAAATTTCTTGATATAGAGTACATAAATTGGTACTATCCTTTTAGATAGCAATTTGCTAACGTGTGCAATAAGTTAAAAAAAAGCAAGTATGCTTTGAACTAGCAAAGCCAGTTTATGTACTTATTCTCAGAAAATGAGACAAGTACTTAAAGGTTGTTCATTGCAGTATGGTATACACTAGCAAAAAATTTAAAAATGAGAACAACTTGAAATAAAGCAAAAAGAGCATCAATAAGTAAATTCTTGTAAGTTCATATATCACATGCAAATGACAAAATAGAAGCAGCCATTGAAATGATGACTAGTATTTCCTGACAGTCATAGATGACCAAGTAACAGAATCAGGTACAAAATCTCATGTGTGGGAGAGTAACGTCACCAAGATGGCAACATAGGTCACTCCCGAATTTGCTCCCCCTCACGAGAAGAATGACTAACAACTATTCATGAACAAGACACCACTGAGAAAATCCTAGAACAGAGAACTGAGGCTGAAGCACCCCCTGCACTGCAGAGACCAAGACAAACCTCGTTAGAGGGATGAAGGATGTTAACTAAACTTATTGTGATGACTATTTCACAACATAAGCAAGTCAAGTCATTGTGCTGTATACTTTAAACATATGCAGTGCTATATGTCAATTACATCTCAATAAAACGGGAAAAAATCTTATGTATAGCATTATCCCTTTTTTATTTTACAAACTATACAAATTTGCATAGCAAAAAGCCTATTAAAATGTACACCAAATGGTTGCTGGTGGTTGTAACTGGGTGGTGAATATTAGATAATGCTAATTTTTTCCTGTTATCTTGGTTTATTTGTATTTCCTTCAATTATATTTTTGTATATTTTGAAGATGAAAGAAGAGGCCATGGACCAAGAAATGCACTTCCTGAAGCTGGAAGAGGCAAGAAACAGATTCCCTGGGAAACTGATGTTGGATTTCCGGCCTCCAGAACTGTGAGGGAATAAATTTCCAGCCTTTTAAGCCATCGAGTTGGTGAGAATTTGTTGCGGTGGCCATAGGAAACTAATACAGCGCCTCATCTGGAAGTTTGCATTTGGAAATCATGTCCCCTGGGGTAGCTGCCTCAGAAAAAGCCGCCCCCACTGACAGGACTAAGTATGGACAGGCACCCTCTCAGGACTGCCACTCATGTGGCTACTTGTTGTTAAACTATGCCTTTGCATGAAGAAAATGGTGGCCATTCCTCCAAGTCTCTGCAGCCCCAAGCTGGGGATTACTCCCAGAGAGCCAAGTTCAGGCTCGCACCTGTGTGAGAGCACAGCCACCCAAAGCCAGGCAGCAGCTCCAGAGGTGCAGCCTCACAGAAGCTCAGTGGGAAGGGCTTAGGCCAGGGTCAAGCTGGGGGAGCATTCAAGGCCAGGGCTGGACCCCAGGACTGCCTCTGATCTCCCACGCAGACCCAAACAGAGACCACCCACCCCAGGAAGATGGGGAGAGCAGGACCACATGGAGGCCAGCTCAGTCTTCCCTTCCTCTGCCTGAAGGGGGCTCTGGGGGCCCCTCCCGTGTAACAATGCCACCCAGGGCCTTGCCTCCTTTGGATGGAAAATGGAACCCCTCCAGGTCTTCACCAAGATCCCGAGCTTCCTGTCCTGGAGAAAGAGATCAATGAGAGCCCCATTATTGAGAATTTCTGGGGGAAGAGTCCAGACCTCCCTGCATGGAGGCTGCCATGGCCTTAATAACTAGATGGAAATGACTGATTTCTCTTTACTTATTGAACAACAGTCACTGGGTACCAGCTGTGGGCAGGCTAGCCTCTGCTTACGTTTCTCCCCTGTTTTCTGCACCCTCCTCTCTCTCACCTCTCACCACCTCCTCACAAACCCTTGCTGTGTTATCACCCAGCTTGATGCTTTTCAACACCTGTTCCTGGATGAACTCCTCACATCCAGCCCCATGGCCCCTAGGGGCTAGAATTGACTCATAGACCATTCACTCACAGCCTGGGCCCCTTTCAGCCTGTCTCTTGTTCACCTGTGTAGGACGTTGCAGGCCACTTGGGCTATAGCTGCCAGTCGAGTAAAGGAGGGAGTCTTTGCAGAGGTGCTGAACAGCACTACTATTGCCATCAATCAGCAAACAAGGGAATATCGAGCACCCGCTATGTGCCAGGAACTGGAGGCTCAGAAGTGGGCATGGCAGACACAAGTCCTACCCTCATGAAACTTACAGCCCAAAGGACTTTCATCAGAATTTCCCCAAGTCTCCTTCCTTGTCCAGGCTGGTCAGATTGTCCTGAATCTGTGGGGGAAATCCAAACAAGTGAAAATCATCTTATCGGAGAATAGCAACATTCATCTCTCTTACCATTTCCAGTTTTCACATGCACTGTCACATTTGTCTCTAGAACAGCAGTGTTTGGGATTGGAAATGAAGAGCCCAGTTCTGTGGTCAGTGCAGCCCCACCTCTGGATGAAGGAGAGATACAAGGAGGAAAAACACAACCAGGGCAGTGATTTCTTTATGGTTTACATCTAGGGTGCCCTATGGGTAAAAAGTTCAGTACAGACTCTGACATGGAGGACATACCCCAGTTCCTTATCTTCCTTAAATCACACCAGATCAGGGAGGCTCACATAGTGCCAGAAAAATGGGGAACAGACTCCAAGCCACAGGCCACTATGGTTACTGCTCCATGCTTAGCATTCAAGGTCACAGTGACCCTCAAAATTGGCCAGCTCTTAACTTGGAGGCCACATGTGTGATAAGAGCCTCTGTGTTGACACTGGGCTCCCTGGGCCTGGTCAGTGGAGCTGGGCATGCAGGGCAGCCATCCCCTCCCAGATCTTGATGCTTATCTGGGTGCCTTATCTTGATGCTTATCTGGCTGTGAAGTTCAGTCCAGTCACAGTGGTAGATGAACGTCCCCCGACCAAAACACACACACACCAGACTTATTTTCACATGTGGTAAAGATCTCCCTCTGTGTTCTCGTCACCCTGGCAGGTGTGCCTTCTCACATCTTATCGCCACAAAGACCTCTGTAGCAGAATATCTTAGTGATCTTGCCCACTTCCGTGACACGGGGAGAACAGTTGACTTCACACAGCTTTTGTTTGAGGGCCGAAAATCCTCCTGAAGCAAACATGTTCCCAGATCTTGCTCAGAAAGAGACAAGGAAGGGAACAAAACAAACAAAAATACAGGATTATACACACAAGCACACACAAATATATATGCACACAGGCATATATTTGAGTGTGTATCATATATGAAATATGGATATGTGTGTCTATATACATATGTATAGATACAGGTATAGGTATGGACATATGATTTCAAAAAGCTACCTTGGCACACACATAACCCATTTGAGGAGAGATTTCCATGGCTAACAATGCTTACAAAGCATCTGCTGTAGCCCAATGCTCTTATGTTAGAGGAGGACAATGAGGCCCAGAAATTGATATAACTGAGCAGGAGCTCAGGGTTCTCAAGCTCCACCTCAGGTTGCTCCCAACTGAGAGATAAAGGCTCAGAGCTGCCAAGTCTTAAAAGTGATCTTATGGCTCTGCCCAAGATAACATCCCTGGTCCCTGACGAAGATGTTTTCCAACCTCTCTCCCAACAATTTCCTGGAGAGAAAGCTCCTGGGCCACCTGAGCGCCATTCTAAGACAACTCAAACTCTCAGAACACTCTCCTTTGCTGAGCTAACATCTGCCCGCTGTGGCTTCCACCACCTCTTAGAGTGATACAAAAGAGAGTTTGCAGCTGGGCAGGCACACGTCCTGTGTGTATGTGTGTGTACACACTTTCTATAACCATGTGACCTTGAGCACATCACTTAATCTCGCTGGGTCTGTTTCATTTTACAGTGTGATTCCTGAGAATGCCCATGCAGAGAGTGGAGAATTCAGTGAGATCACATATATGAATCACATATGCCTGGGAACATAGTCAGGTGGGGATTCATAGTAATGCCCTTGGCCTTCTCTCTTCCCTGATTTCCCCCAAACTGTATTTGTGTTAAAAAGCAGCTACCAAATAACAGCCCATTTGAAGATAGCATGATGCACACCACTCCCCTGCCCATCTTTTCTCTACATGTGTCAGCTGGGAGTTGGTTTACCAGTGGGGACCCTGTCTTTTGGGACACTCAGCAGAGCCCAGGGTGGGCACCCTCTTGGGACAGGGCTTTCCTCCTCTTATCTGTTATATCCTCTATGGGGTCAAGAAAAATGTCGAAGTTCCCTGCCCCCATGAGACTGCAGGAAAGATGAGATTTCTGGGAGACAAGGGCCAAGCCAAAGACACAAGCCAATGCTAATCCCCCTCATTCTGGTCCCCATTGTCTACTCAGGAGTTGTCGAGTGTCACTCAGAGTAGGTATTTATGTGTAGGTGTTTAAGATGCTCATAGCTGCTCAGCCAAAGTCTTAGCATTTGATGCCCAGGGGACCAGAAAGCTGACTCCTAAAAACCTCAGTGGTGGAGTTCAATGCCTTGATGAATTAAGTGCGGTCCAGTAACAGATCCATCCTCCATTTTCCAGGCTTAGGAGCCCAAGACAAGGCATCATTAAATATGTTTAGAGTTGTGCAATCATATACTGGAGGTTCTGATAAAAAAGCCAGAGAGAATACAGGCAGAATAATAGTCTTTGGTATCTCAGTAAATTATCCTGCCACAGTTCCATTGGTAAAATGCTCTCAGTGGCCCAGAAGGTTTCTGCAATGTCTGATTTCCCATGTGCAGGCTTTGAAGGGATGGCTAGAATGGTTCGGAACTTTTGCTTTGTCCACATGTGGTTCCAGTGCTACTTCCTAGTACTTGGTCAGAAACAGAAGTTTAATAGCAGTGGGGGGCGGGGGCCCTACTACTAGGAGATGTCATTTCAAGACTGGAGGAGAGAGAGAGGACGTGACACAAGAATTCTTAGGTCTGCGTTATATTTTGCAAATATAACACTTCATTATATCTATGCTGAACTATGAGACAGAAAGAAAGAGAAAGACCCACCAATTTTGCAGTCATGTACTAGAAGTTCTGGTAAATGATTCAGAAGCAACCCCTTACCCACCCCAAAGCAAACCATTTGCCACATCCCATACGGACATGGTGAGAAAGCACACAGCACCAGCTACTGAGTGAGATGGGAGAAGAAATAACTCGTTCACTCCAGAAGGGCAAGGTGTGACCTTTAGGCTCTGTGGGAACGATTGCTTTGGGGAAAGGAAACGTCCTCAGTGAGCAAAATTCCTGTGGAGGTAAAGACACTCAGGGGGGTTTTGGGGGAGAATAGTCTTGACTGTGATCCAAGGTCACATCAAAAGTGACATCACAACCCAGATCATCACTCCCTTCCAAGCTGCTCCCACCCAAAAGTGCAATCAACAGCTGCCCCCAGTTGGGAGGGGGTGGGCACTCTGTTCTGACCCAAACCTGCTTCTCCTCCCCCTTCCTCTATATTCCTCTGTCTACACATCATCCCAGACATTGACCCACAGCAGAGTTTTAATGAATTATCCCCAACCCAACATCCAGATGTTGCTCTTTGTTGGTGGCTGGGCAATGATTACAGTAGGCAACAAGGAGAAATTAAAGGCTGTTCTAGTGGTTGCCAAAACTATGTTAATCTCATAAATTTATATCTGTCTTATAGACATTTTTCTCTCCCCAATCCTGCCCTCTCTCCCTTATCCTTACCACTACAGAGGCAAAAGGGAAGTACAATCTTCCCCACTCCCACTCATAACCTAGGTTCTCCTTCACTGACACGTCTTTCCCTGAAAACTGTTTTAGATGCCCTGTAAACACCCCAGAAATTGACTATCATCCCAACTTCCTAATAGGAATGGAGAGACAACTCCTACCTGAGGCGGGAATCTGTTCTCAACAGCATGGCTGAGTCTCATGGTCAAATGAAATCAGCTAGGGCCCTTTATGCTTGTAGGTTCTGATTTCAGGCAGGACTTAAGAGAATGATCAGACTCAGGGAAAGTGGTTTATAGCAGCAGACTCAAATGCCATGTATGAGTGCAGGAATGTCATGTCATTGTGCCGTTGTCATTGCTGCAAGGAATGGCCCTGCCCACGTCCAATAAGTACTAGATGTGATTTGGTAAGAGGCTAAGGCCCAAGAGGATTGCCCCTCATGGGCCAAGCCTGACATTCTCCTACATGTCAGGGAAGAAAATCAGGAGAATGAAGAATAAAAGCAAAGGGAGTGTGTGATCCCAAGGACCTTTTCCATCACAATTTGATGGAATTTCCATCACAGTATTGTGGACACTGAGGAATCTTTCTTCTCTAAGAGAACTAGAGTCACATATTAAAGATATAGACAGAAACTTTTACTCCTCAGCACCTGCTTAAATTTCCCCCAGATTCCTCGAACACTATATGATAGGGTTAAGCTGTAGAGGTGTGGAGAAGATCCCAGACTTTGGAATCAGATCCCTGCATTCTAATCCCAAGTCCCCCTCCATTCTCATGAGCTGAGTCATGTGGAACAAGTCCCTTACCTCCACAGGGTCTTAGCTTTCTCATTTGTAAAATGGAAGAAATATTGGTAGTGACTCAGATGGTGAGGTGAGGCTCTGTGGTTGGTGATCAATAAATATTAGCCGACATTATGACATTGGGTAATATTGTCTCATTTGTTCAACAAACTGAAGAATCATATCTTATTTTCTATAGATATTTTTATTATCAACTTTCACTTCAACACAGCTTTTTAAAATTACAAGTCACAAATGCTTTTCACCATCTTTTAGTTTTTCTCTATTTGGTCATATCTGAGAAGAAATTTAGTCTCTCCACTGACGCTTTTTCCAGGTAGGATTCTTCCTAGAAAGGCACCTGTATTATAGCTTTTCCACATGTTTGCCATCTCAGTAAGCATTTCACTCCCTTAAATTTGTATTACTACTTCTAGATTTGGGAGGATGTTCCTCCATGACCTTGGCCATTTGACTATCCATTGAGGTTAAGAGAAAATTTTCCTTGAATTTCCCACTCCCTCCATTCTCAGTCTAGTCAGTCTATAATGTCAAGGTTACTATGTTCAGGGCCCTAGCCTGACTCTTGAAGAACCAACCCAAAAAGGGTGAGGGCCAGGAATGAGGATGATGGGAAAGGGCAGGGCCTGAGACTCAGGGGTTTTATGTCCTCCTCTAACCTCTCCTTCTTGTGTGAGGAGCTTTAGTATATTTGCTTTCCAAATATACTAAAGCAAGGAAATAATCAATGACATTATGGGAGCTCTAGCAATTCCGAGGAGAGTCATCTTGGGCTGGAG